AAATGTCATCTCGACAGCATGATTGTGCAGTGCAGCCTGTCTGGCTTTGGGCAGCAAAATCTGAGTTAATCTCTCCTCATCCTGCCTCCTACCCCTTAAATCCCCCCTCAGCTGCTTCCCCAGAGAGGGCTCAGGTTTGAAGGTGATGTTGGTGCTGATCTGCTGGCTCTGATAAGAGCTGGGGAGAGCAGCTCTGCTGTGCAGCTGCTTGTGGCCAAGCAGGGTTTGTTCCAGTTTTACAGTGGCCCTTTGGTGACTGTGTCTCTTGGCTGCAGAATCACTTGGAAGGGGATCTCCCCTTCTTTGGATGGATTTTGGTAAACAGCGCTGGTTTTACAACCATGTCCAGGGACAGATTGTCCCAGGGCATCTCCCAGTGCTGGAGAAAGCTGCTTTCCAGCCATTGGCCTTACTAAGAAGTCCACAGGGCTGACCAGTCTACAGTAATTTGGATTTCTTGGTCAGTTTGACCCTGGCAGGTCAGGAAATTGCTATTTCTGTGGATTTGGCAGGAGTGATATGAAAGGCAGTACCCAGATCTTGCCAAGGGGCGGTGTGAGAGCATGGCTGGCAATTAGGAGAGCAAGGTCTGTGCCTGCAGGCTGGTGCATGAAGAGATGAGTCCTATTTCCCCTCACCTTGGGACCTGCAGAGGGGGCAGAGGATGGGAGACTGGTGGGTCAAATATGTCATTCTGCCTGGGCCCCCAAGTTTTATTTGTTACCTAGAGCACTGTGTGGGTGGGAAGCCAGGCCTGCTGCTGTGCAGAGGAGCCCCTTGTGCCCAATCCTTTCTCCCTTCTGCTTACTGTTTTTCAGAAAAACAAGCAGTGAGGTTGCTGCTGGAAGCAGCTTTTGCAAATAATGGCTGTTGGGGCTCCAGAGCTGCTGAGATGGTTGGGTCCAGGTGCACAGCCTCCACTCTGTAGATGTGGGCACAGGAGGAGGGTTATGGACTCTGGAGAAATTAAGGACCCTGCCAAGTGGCACTAGTGCAGGGGAAGCTTGGAGAACTCAGCAGAAGAGGTGTGAGTGGTTTCAGAAAAACAAATAACATCGAGGCTTGGCTCCCCTCTACATCTCCCCAAGAGGACTCTGCAGTTCCGCTTCACCTTCCTGTGGGGGCTTGGATGCTCTTATGCTGTTCATTAGTAAAACCTCTGAGCAGCTCCTACTGCCATGAGTACCCATTAATGCCTCTTCAGGGAGAGGAGAACATTGGGAAAGCAGAAAACCAATCCGAGGGCCCTTTATCTCCTTTTGGTCTGAGAGGTCATGGGCTGAGGTTGGAGGGGAAGAGGGGCCAGGTGGGGATGCTAGGCATGAAAGCAGCACCGTGAATTATCTGCTGAAGTCTGAGTGCAAAAACAACCTGATTTGAACTGCTACTTCTTCAAAACTCCCGGGGGTGCTTTAGGGTTATAAACACCTACTCAGTGACCTTCTTTGTGCACATCTCGAGCCAGGTATTCCCACAGTAGAGGGAAAGCCAGCAAAACCTGCACAGATGTCTTTAGCAGCTGCAGCCGGGCTGCCTTAAGCCACCCCTGCTGCTACAGTTTATTAGCACTGCAGGGTCTGTCCCCTTCTCCCCCTTCTCCTTGCCTGCTTGTGTGTACAGTCAGCTGTTAAAGGACACTGACATCACTTTATGGTTTAATTGAATCTCACAAAGGGATCCAAATTGGCTGCCTGAATCTTGTCACTGAGATGCTCCTGGAAGAAAATCATCAATTCAGCAGATAAACCTGCAGCTCTGGGCAGAAGGTCCTTGTTGCTGGGGATAGGGAAGTAATTCCTCTTTTCAGAATAATACACTATTAGGGAGATGGCTGAGGGCTATTTTTCCAGGCCACCAGGTGCCATCCCAGGTCCAAAGGAAGGGTAACTAAGTTAGACTAACTCCCCAAGGTGGTGTGGCACTCAGTAAGGGGTAAACAGACCTGAGGCAGCATTTTATCTGTAAGTCAGGAGAGCGTTCTGGGTTTTACACAGGGATTTACAGGGATACGATGGAGAGAGGTCCATGTGACCGTTTATTTAGAACGGAATGCAGAATCCCAGGAAAGGCCAGGGATGAACCAGGATGAAGCTTTGCAGTCAGCAGCAATTTCTGAGATTGTTTTTCAGAAAAAGTAATCTTTGAATGTAGGGAATCAAAAGTTAGGAGGGAATGGAGAGCAAAATGTGCAAAAGCAACAGGGAAGCCCAGAGGGAGAGGATATGACCCTAATGAGAGTGCTAATGCTGTGGCCATGCTACTGACAAATAAAGTAATTGCTGCTCAGGAGGAATGTGAGCCAGTAGAAAACAGCTTTCCACCCAGATGCCAAGAAAAGCAATTAGAACTCGTAAACACCAGTGGCTGACTAAAACCAGGCCCTTAATTAATAGTTTCATTTGAAGGGTAAGGAAATTGTTAAGCACTATTGGTGTCTATTAATTCCCTGCAACACAAACCACAATAGAGTTTTAAGCCTTCTTCCACTGTACTGTGTGTGCAGGAAGGAGCATCCCAGCCCTTGCTTTGTGCAGCTGTGCTCCCTCACCTCACTGACTGCCCCAGAGCCCTGGGATGTGTTGCAGGATAAACAGCTGAGACTGTGCACTGAGTTAGGACATGGTTTTGGGAGTGCTCCATCAGGGCAGGAGAGAAGGTGGACAGGAAATGTGATTTCAGTAAAAAGCTGTACAGAGTCCAGGGAGCTGGAATATTTGTATCATATTGTACAGATATTTGTATTGTATTTGTATCATATTGTACAGCATCAGCCTCTTCTGTCCAGCACAGAGGGTGCTACAGAACTGTCAGTCGAAACAGGCAGGGCAGGGAGGGCCATAAAGCTTCCCATGTATAAGCAGTGGTCATGCACTGGCAGACCTCCTAAAACCTTCACAAACTCCCAGAAACCAAGAGTGTCTAGGAGTGGCCTTTACAGAGGACACGGCCTTGATTTCAAGTGTGGGTAAGATTTTAGGATGAAGATTTATTCTTCTTGTTTTCTGACTCTCAATTCACTTTTTACACATACTCTTTCCTGAATTCCAGCAGGACCACAGATCTCTTCATAATTTTACTTTTCAATTTGCTCTACCACCTTCATGTGACTTGGGCACCTCTGCATTGATGCAATGAACAGGCTGTAGTGGAGAACAGCAGTGTTTGGTCTTGTGTGTGTTAGACAAACCTGCTGGCACAGCCTGGTGCCCCTCCTTTGTCAGGGTGGTTGCTGTGCTGGACACAGATACCAGCCCAGCCTTACTGTAAACACATCACACATCCCTTCCCCAGCCAGCTGCATACTCAGAGTTCATCTTGGCAGTTTATGGCTGACCTGCCATCTTCTTCTTAAAAAGCAGAATATTAAGTGCCTAGGGCAGCTGTATTTCTGGAGTGAGGGGGAAACTCTTCTGGTGTGGCAAACATCTATGGAAGAGCCTCTCTTCCTCACTGTCAAATCTGTGACAGCTCAAGGAACTTCCCTTTAAGATCACCTACCCTCCCTACAAATTCAGAGAGTTGGACTAAAGTAGATTTGTCTGAATCTTGTTTTCTCCTGTCAAATGCAACTCAACAGGCTTTTCTAAGCAGAGTGATTTCTTTCAAAACCTGCTGTATGCCATTCAGCCCCATGAAGGAGGTTCACTGTCTTGTTGCTATGGTACCCTTTCTCTAAAGAGGAAGAAAATAGTTAACTATGCAATTTAAGAAACTACAGAGGAATGACAGAATGAGAAATAATAGAAAAGAAGATTCTGCATTTGCAATAGAACTGCTGGTTGCTCTGAAATACACCATGTTTACAGGTGAAATACTTGCCCAGAGCATGTTGTTTAGTGCCAGGGCTTCTCTGGCAGCAGGGATTTCAGTGAGATGCCCTTTGCTAGGCAATGTGCCTCTGCCATCCAGCAAATCCATCCTGTAGTCAATTACTGCTTTTACCTTCCCTGCTTAATGCTCCTGACATATTTCCTTGGCAGAAATTCTGGACGGAGCTGGGACAGCGGTAATACATCACAGACCCACAACAAGCTCCTGCTGCTTGTGGATACACAGAGGTACAGTTCAAGACTTAAGTGCTTTGTATCTCCTTGGCAGCATTTCATTATTCCTTGGGCCTACTAACCCCTGCTTGCTGTCCCCAGGACCCCGGAAAATCCAGTTTGTGGTGCACAAGGCAGGGCCAAAGAGACTGCAAGCATCAAACCTGGCAAGATCCCAGCAGCCCCTTTAGAAAGTGAGGTGCTTTCCTTTGCCAAGAGCAGTGGCAGGTCAGTACAGCTTGGGTGAAACAAAGCACTGCAACAGATCTGTGCCAGAAATCAGGAATGGATCCAGGCTGGTGCTCTGTGAACAGGGAGAGCTGCCTCTCATAGGGCACACGTGGCTCTGTGAGCCAGAGGGAAGGAAAGAGTTACCCCATGCCTTGTTTCCCAATGTGAGCAGTGAGACAAAGAGGGAAGGAAGATGACCTGACCCTGTGCAGTTGTTTACTACAGATGATTACAGGAGATTGAGATCTCAGGCTGTCCTTCTGCCTGACAAGGGCACTAATGGCATGGAGGGCTAGACAAGAGCCACATATGGTGGTAAGAGGAAGAGAGCAGTCAAAAGGAAATAATAAGCCAAAATACTTCTAGGAACACAGCAGGAATGGCTGTCAAAAGACCAACATTTTAATCAACAAACTTTGTAGACAAGAGGCTTCCCACTAAGGGAATACACGGATTCCTGCTTTCACCAGCAGCTTCTATCTCCTGCATTTTCAAGGCTCAGCATGGTCTCTCCAAGCTTCCCTCAACAAGTATTTCCAGGGAGGGTGGCCTTCCAGAATCAGTCACAGAAGCAACATTCAACTCAGTCCCTGATGAACTGACGCTGAAAGCTGTGTGTCCCTTGCCCTGCCCCTCACACTCTCCTGGCTTTCCGTGGGCGGCAGCCGTTGTGGGGGACCGGGCTGTTGTCGGTGATGGAGATGATCTCCAAACCTCCCATTGTCAGCCCCTTGATGGCAGCCTGCAACAAAACAGCAGATGAAGCTATCAACACACAGAACAGCAGAGAAGGGAAAAAGCTCAGGGCAAAACAGTTTCGTCCCCCCATCCGAAAATCAACTTGTTCCAATGCTTCTCACTTCTTAATTCTTAAAAATAAGTAACTCATTCAGAAAACCCAGTTTAAACATATTTGCTCTAGTCCTTTCTTGAGCATTCCTACTGATTTTCCTACTTTAGCCAAAAGAAGCCCCAAATACAGCTTTTATTCTACCTCCAACATGGTATTACTCTAAAATTATAATGACTCTAAAAATTCATTACTGGGCACTTAGGTGAGGAATCCTTTACATCAGCTTCAGAAAAACCAAGTTAATTGAAACCAGCCTGAGTTTAGAAAACATCCATGATAGCTGAGAAAATAAAGTATGGAAAAGAAACTCCAACACCTACTTTGCGTCCTGGTCCCAGTCCTTTCACCATGACTCGCACATGCAATACACCCTTCCCACGTGCCTTCTGTAAAAAGAACAACTGGTTAGTGTTCTCTCTGACATAAACTCTGGCTCCCCTGGTGTCTTTCATTTTCATAGTAGTATTTAAGTAAAAATAAAGATTAGGTAGTAATGGATAAAGAAGACATATATAGGGATTACTGCAGAGACACTAAGAGCAAACGAGGCTGGGGTATGGCCATGACAGTTCAAGAGAACTTCTGTGCTAAACTGAGCTCTGCACAGAGAGAAAGCTCTCAAATCAAACTATCTGTGACTTAAAGCCAGAGCAAAAAAGGACATATCCATGGATACATGACTGAAGTGGCAAGGGACTAACAATGACTAATTCTAAGTTGTTTTCCCTTCTCTAATGTGGCGATTTCTACCCTGTGAGCAGTGGATTCTTTCTGGAGGGTAAATGAGAAGAGCAGGCAAGCTTTAGATTTGCTTTGCAGGAGTCCACACCTCCAGGGCAAAAATTCTAGGGGCTTTCAAATTGGAAATGAAGAACTGCTGTACAGCACAGCCCTGCTGCCACCACGTGGAGGGAGCCACCTCTGGCTCTCTTTCTCATTGTGCTCTGGTGCAATTAACGTACTAACTACTTCAACAGTGACAGAATCAATGTGTCCAAGCACAGCTATGTAGCTATTATGAGGCTCCAACAAGCACAGATTAATAGTGAAGATGTTCTTATATCCCTCTGAGTCAACCACAATAAGCTGTTGGCCAGCAGTGGCACCAAACTCCTCTGGCATGAAAGGCTGAAGTGAGTTCCACCTACATTAGGGTAAGGATTTTCAGTTTAACCTTGCCTCATTCTGCTGTAATGAGGACCATAACACAGCCAGCCTCATCTCCTCCACCTGGACACCCACATGGTTTTTTTCAGAAAGAGTTACAATAAATGACATGCAGCTGGAATGAACAGGTGCAAGAACATCACTTCCTCTGACTGGAACTGCTGGCTGGAGCTCAGTTCTGTGGCGGAGAGCAGATATAAAATATCCAGACAATAACTACAGCTACTTCTCAGTACCCTACGGTGCAAAACTTGAACTGCTACTGATTCAGAGGCTACATTCCCCAAATGACTGAGAAATGTTCACTTAGGAAAAGAGGAGGCTGTGCAGACCGGTGCTAGGAAAGGACAGGTTCCAAGTTACAATCACACATTTCCAATCACAACCTGCACAGCTCAGCTCCCACTTGGGGCATTTCTAACAGCTCTTTCAAACACACTTTGTGTGCAAATTAAACTCCAGCACCACAGTGCTGCCTGCGAGCCAGGGCCGTGCCCAGGGGCAGGCAGGCAGAGCTCCCCTCAGGAGGTGGGGATCACGGTGGGCACTCACCACTGCTGCTGCCATGGCTGCAGTCTGGGCTGCGATGGCAGTGCCCTTCCTGGCGTTCTGGAAGCCCTCTGTGCCGCAGGATGTGCGGGAGAACGGCTGGTTGTCAAAGCTCACCACCTGGATGTGCGTGCTGCGGAGGGACAGGGGCAGAGGCAAGAAGCAAGCTGGAACAAAGCTTTATTCTCCAGTTTCTTGCTCACCTTACTGGCATAACTGACTTCTGTCTCTCTTTGAAAGTATCCCACTCAAACCCACTGCAGAGACCACCCAGCAGTGACCTGATCATCTTACAGACCCCAGCAGAACCTTTCTGGAGGTGTGCTGTATCTCACTCAGCCCTTTCAGATCCACCTCTCACTGCATCTCTTCTATTAAAAAAAAATGCGCAAGACACTTTTAGAACTTGAAAGAGCCTTAAGCAGTAACACATCACAGGAGCAATCACTGATGAAACACAACTGTCTCATGGAGAATATGATAATTTTTTCAACACCTGCACAGAAATAGTGCTAGAGCATGGGCTGGAAGTAACCTGCTCTTAAAACTATCAGCATCTGATTATTCATATTAGAATGTAATCAATATATAAAAACAATCTCACAGCTTTTAAGACACTCCAATAACAGGTAGGCTCCCTGAACACCACTGAGGTTTAAATCAGTATCATCTTCCCAGCCATGAACACCATTCCCTTGGCTGTTTTCCTTTGAGCCTTTAGATCAAAATGATGACAGGCCAAACCCCGGGTTCGAAGCTTTGATTTCACACGAGAGCAGGAATGGAGCAGCTCATTTGCTTACTTGTTGTACGTTGCTTTGATGTGAGCTATCGGGACCTCTTCATAAACCTTGCCATCCCATCTCATGGAGTTCCTCTGCAGGATTAAAGAGCTGAGGAGCAAAGTAAGAGTTGTCAGGCCTCGCTCTTTAAATATTACAAAGTTTCATTTCATATCGGGAAATAAAGAAAGAAGGGAGCAAACCTCCGAAAAACACAAGCTGCGTTTCTGATTGAGTCAAGCGGCTCCCTCCCCTTCCTCGGCTGAAAACCCACCGAAGGCGATAAAACCTCGCAGCAAGAGGCAGATGGCAGCGCCCTCCCGGCGCGGCCTGGCCTCGGCTCTCACCTCTGCTCGGTCGCGCTCTGCTTCTCCGTCTCCTTGGCAGCGGCCCCCGCCACGTCCTGCAGCCTCGGGGGGCCGGAGCGGAGCCCGCGGCACAGGGCGGCGGCGCGGCCCCTGAGGAGACAACGGCGGCTGAGCGCTGGGCGACAGCGGGCAGCCCCCAGCGGCCACCGCGCAGCAAGGGGAGCCCTCCCCGCTGTCCCCTCGCTGTCCCCCCGCTCCCCACGGCCCGTCCCGCCCTCTCCGCTCACCCCCAGCCCAGCACGCGTAGCCCGGCCAGCGCCATGGCCGCGCTGATGGCGGCGCTCGGCCCGCGCCGGGGAGCGGCCGCGCGGAGCACGCCGGGAGCGAGGAGGGGACATGGCGGGGCATTGTGGGGCGCGGGCCATGGCGGCGCCCCTGCGGCCACGGGCGGCGGGCAGCGCTCGCTGGGTTTGTAGCGCTGCCGCGCGGCGCCCCTGGAGGCTCTTTGGGGCCATGTGCTTGTTGAGGCTTCCCCGAATCACGCAGCCTCTGGAAAAGGAGGAGGAAGAGGTGGCGGCGCTCATGGAGCAGGTAGAGGGGGATGTGTGCGCGTGTCTGCGTGAGGGTGTGGATGGGGAAATGGCGCCCTCAGGTATGAGGGGAGGGGAGCATCAGGAGCTGGTGGCCTCGCACACATCGTCTGTGATGTTGCTCCCCAAGTGCCCTGCGTGCGATTTGCTCCACATCTCGTGGGTGTTGGAGGTGTCCCCACGGTCGCCTCCATGGTGTTGGTGTCCCACTCACACGCTCTGGCTGCAAGGAGGGAAGCCCTGCTCAACCTCAGGAAATTCCTATTGCCTTACTTTCCTGAATTGGAAATAATTTAATTTTGCTTGCTAATACCTATAGTGCTTGTGGCTTAAGACTTCTTTATGTTGCTTTTCTAGATAGAGCTGGAGAGGAGCCTCTATTCCGATCATGAAGTGCGTAAGCTGGAGGAGGAGGAGCAGCTCAAGAAGAAGATGGAAAGCTTGTATGATGAGGATGAAGCTCGTGGCAAGACGGTCATCATGGCTCAGGACCTGGAGGAGAAGTGGGAGCAGAAGTTTCTGCGGTTCAAACCTGCTCCACGGATAACAGGTACAGCCTGGAGTTCATGGTGGGTGAGAACACCCAGATTGTTTGCCAGAGTGCAATTCAATAGAAAGAAGGCATTTTTGGTCTCTTTTTTTGTTTGTTTTAAAGAGAGTCTTGACACTGTGGCAGCACATGCGCAGTTAACAGTCTGACAGGGAAATCAGTGTTCCCATGCTGCAAAAAAAGTGTGTGTTCACCAGGGCAAAATGATGCACATAGATGTGGTTTCCAGACAAGAGAAATGTTTGGTCATTTGGTTCTCAAGCTCTGCTTAGTGCTCTTGTTGGTTTTTGTGAAGGTGGAGATCTAGGCTGCTTATTATAGAGTCTTTCTGGATAGGAGAACAGCAGCTGAATCCTGCGATGACTTCTAGAGTAACTGAGAGCATTCCTGTCTAGATTTCTGTCATATTCCATGTACCCACATGTGTGTATTGTTTCTGGGTGTGAGGCCCAGAGGATTGATAACCGAGGGGGTCAGAGCATGCTGCCAGGAGACTTTGTTTCCAGCATGTGTTGGTTTTTGGCAGATGCTGACAAAAGCAACGATCGAACATCGTTGAACAGGAAGCTGGACAGCAACCTGATGCTTCTGGTGAAACAGAAAATTGGTAACCAGGAGCTGTGGCTCCTGCCTCAAGTGGAGTGGCAGCCTGGAGAGACGCTACGGAGCACGGCTGAACGAGCCATGGCTACGTTTTTGGGTGTGTAGCTTGACTCTTCCTTTTGTTTGTCCCAGTGGTTTTCTTCCAGTGCCCTGTCTGAGGGATCTTTGCCATCTGCTGTAGTGAAATCTTCTCCCATTTGCTGGGAAAAGGCATGTTGTGGCAGAGGGCTGGCACACTGGGAGTTGGGATCTCTGGCTGCCAGCAGCAGCAGTGCCATGTCTGGCCATCATGGGCCATTTTGGGGTATCACCAGACACCCCTGAATGTCTGGAGTTGCTTTGGGCTTCTCTTTCCCTGTTGTTGCCCTGTAGTAGCTTTTGTGGTGGATGGGTGATGAAGGCAAACATGTGTCCTTGCTTTTCACTCAAGATTGGCAAAGTTGGATACCCTCCTCTTCCTCCCTCTCCCACTCTAAGAGGACTCTCTGGTCTCCAAATGAGCTGTTTTTTCATGAGAAAAAAAACCACAGTTCTTTCACAGTTGTCAGTATTTCTCCCAAAGAGGGAACAGCCAGTCTGAACCTCATACAAGGAATGGCTTATGCTGTGTTGTTGTTATACAGGGGAGCAGTTATTGTTGTTCTGTGTTCTTATGTTTTACTCTCTTTCTCTTGCATTGCTGGCTTCTTGCAGGAGATCACATTCAAGCAAAAGTCCTGGGGAATGCACCATTTGGGATTTACAAGTATAAATTCCCCAGGGCCATCAGAACTGAGAATAACGTGGGAGCCAAAGTCTTCTTCTTCAAAGCCTTCCTCCAAAGCAGTGATTTGTCCCAGGCAAAGCTGAAGGCAGATTACCTGTGGGTCACAAAGAAGGAGCTGGGAGATTACCTGCAGTCAGAATACCTGAAAAAAGTCAATAGATTCCTCCTGGACTTGTGAGCAATGGCCTGTGCTCCAGCAGATGGGGAAGGTGTGGGACGTGGCTCCAGGGAGGAGCACAGCTGCTGCTTTGTATGGTCTGGGTGTATGAGATGTTCACATGGGCTCTGGAGGATAATTTGCCTTTGCCTTATTTCCCAGTTCTCTTCACTGGCCCTGTACTGAATAAATATTAAATCTATACTTGGAAGTGAAGCTTTCCTGAGGGAGTTCTTTGCTCTTGTTGAATTCTCCTCCTCCACCTCTTCTGGAAATGCATGTTGTATCCTTTCCTCTCCCAAGAGTGTGGTTCCCTGGGGCTGTGCTACCCAGAAGGTTTGCTTTCCTCTCCAGACTGCTGCCACAGGCTCAGCCTCAAAGGGTTTCTCCTTGCTGTAGCTAATGCTTATCACTGGTCCCTGCTCTCTGATAAGAGCAGCACTGGAGGGTTATCTGTGTGTCCAGGTGGGAACAGACTCTCCTGAACACCAGCCAGGACAGGATGGGTTTCTGGGGAATGTAAGCAGGGATATTCACAGCTTGTTAACTTCTAGTGTTAGCTGCCTCTGGCCTGGAGTCTGTGATGCACAGTGGCTGTGGAGGACACGGATCCATGAGGAATGGGCAGCTGCCTTCCCACTCTCACTGCCTCCCTGTGAGCCTCAGGTTACAGCAACAGACACTGAGGGAGGATAGCAGCAGCAGCAGCTGCTCTCTGTCTGGGCTGGGAGGCTCATTTTTCCTGGAAGGGGAAGGTGCTTTAGCATTGCTGTCTCATGGGAGCAGCCTCAAAGGTGTCTCTAGGGAGTTCTTGGCTCCCATTCCCACTGCATCAGGCCAGCACTGCTAACCAGCACAGCTGGGTCTGCCTCAGGTAGCCTGACCCTATTACCCTAGTTTCTTTATTAGAAGATCTATCCTGGGCTTGTGTGGTGCTGTCTTGGCCCTCTGGGGCTGGTTCTGTTGTTGGAGGTTTTTTCTGGTTGTAAATGTTGCTGTTCAGTAGTCAAGAGTGCTGCTGGACCTCGCAGGGAATGAGCTTGCTCCAGCAGCAGGGAGAGAGGGAGGAAATAACTGTCATAAATCATCCAGAGAGAGTTTGGACTCCAGAGGTGGAACTGGAGATTGCTGTATGTACTTTATCAATCCTTTGGGAGCTGTTGAGCTCCAGGCTTCAAATTAAAGTTATCCTTAATCACTCTGCAAGACACTGGGGTGGAAGGTAGCACAGCAGCCTTCTATTTTCCAATGCTGGACAGTCTGGGAGCTGCAGGTTTGCCATAAATTACCAACAAAACTTGGCTCCTGGAAGCATCCTCACAGGCCTGGCAGGGAGGCTGAGTCTGCAGCAGAGAGCAGTGGCAAAGAGGAAATAAATGTGGAGCAGAACATGTGCCTGAAAGGCTGCAGATTTTTGGCTGCTCTCTGAGGTCAGCACTGCTGAAGGGAGCCCCGTTGCCTTCTCCAGGACTGGAAGATCCTGAAGCAGGGGGAGGTGAGTCCTTCCCCTCAGGCTGTGCCCTCCTGTGGGGGCACATGGGTGCAGTCAGTACAGGTTTTCTCTGCCACTCTTGTTTCAGGCTGTCCCTGGCTCCAGAAGATGCAGCTGGGACCCTGTGGCCACAGGTTTAAGACATGCCCTTAGCTAAAGAGTCTGCCCTGTTTCCCACACCATGGCAGGTTTTGTATTGCTGGGACAAAACTTTCAAAGCATAGAAAATGCTGTTTAATCTGTGCTTGCTCCCAAAAGACAGAGCACAAATGAAAGAAAAGGCTGTACTGAAACCTTGCTGATCTTCAGACCCAGGCAGTTCCTATTTCTGGATTACTCAAGCTGCAAGTCTTTGGGCATTGTCTGTGCTGAGAGATGTGTAGCTCCTTCAGCAGTGCAAAGGTCAGAATCAACAGCATCCTACATTTTTAAATGTTTTTCCTTGTCCTCAGACCTTACAGGTAGCATGTGTGCGAGAAACTTGGTCTTTTCTGAAAGCTGAAAGTGTTTTTTCATCACCTGAAATAAAAATTCCTGCTTGCAGCCTCTGTGGGAATGGCACCATCTATTTATTTATTTAAAATATTTTTATTTTTCCTGTAGTTGATTTTATTTAAAGCCACTCAGCCAGTTGCTGCAAACAATCACATCCTGTAGCTCAGAGGCTTTTGCTCAGTTCTCCTGTGTGACCTCTTTTCTTCCCCAGCCTTGGGGAGAGGGAAGCTGGAGGATCCTAAAGGATGGCTTGAATCTTCTCATTTCCTCTACTCCCAAACTCCTGCAGTAGGTCACTGAGGCTGTTCTTTTCCTTTGGGAACTTGGTGGCTGCAGGCTGCCTTTCCACTCAGCATGAGCCTATTCCCATACTCAGAGCTGCAGAAGTCTGAGCAGGCTGGTGGTAACTGCTGAAAAGGCAGCACAAAGCCCGAGAGCCTCTTCTGAGAGAGCAGAAGGAACCTGTGGAGTTGTGGCTGTGTGAAAGCTGCTGCAGTCCAGCACAAAGACCAGGGGGAGCATTTTACTTTGGTTGAAACACAAAACTCCCTTTGCAAATGTGATGGAGAGCCACCAGAGTTTGTCTGGGTGTTGAAGGAGGCTGGAGCTTTTTCGGACTCAAACCCTGGAGGGTTTTTCTCACCTTGACAAAGTCCCTCTCACATGAGATCTCTGCCAGAACCTGAGGCTGCACCAAGGGCCTGGGGAAGAAACTGAGTTTGTTGTGGTTCTTCAGTGCAAGGCAGAGTGAGATCAGTTGAAGAGCTCTCCTGTGAAGGGTGCACTGCAGAGAGGAATTTTGGAAAGGACCCATAGCTCCTCGCTTTGAGAGCAGCAATGTGAGGCTTATCTAAGCAGTCCCAGGTAAGATCCATGCTGCTGTTACCCACTCCTGACTGTGCACACCTGAGAGGAAGCTCCTGACTGCTCAGGCTGCAGAGGCTTTCTGCTCCTCAAAACCAGTTTTGGCATGGGATGCTTCCATGATTCTTAAGGGTCATATACAAAAAGCCTCATCCTTTCTCTCTCCAAGGGGAAGGAAGCACCTGAAGATGTCCTGGCCCTGGTGTGGTGCAGTCCAGCAGCTGTTGCTAAAAGTCTCCAGTAGCAGACACAAATGGAAGGAGCAGTTGCATTCTAAAGCACTGGCATCTAAGCCATCACTTAAACCACCATGTTAGAAGAGAGAGCTGAGAGTTTTCTTTGTGGCAAGTTGACACTAACACTCCCCTCCAGTGGAGAAGAAATAACAAGTCCTAATAAAAACACTTCTCAGCTTCACAGATACAGTTTTCCTTTACTTTTACAAAATTGTTGCCTAGCTGAAATCCCTCCTTGTCTGTGTAAGTTTTGGGGGTTGGTGCTCTCTAAGCAGAGCCCTGCTCATATGTTTTGTGATAGTTTGAACTGTTGAGAACCTCACACTTTCTCACATAATGGGAAAGTCCAGTATAAAAAACAACAAACCCTGCTGTTTGTTGCTCCTTCTGGCTTCTTTATTGCCCCAAGCAATGAAAGTCTTCAGAACTAGGAAGATAAATACACGTGGAGCCAGGAAAGGTCTTTGGAGCCACAGGCTACACCTCTTCCTGCTCTCTGAAAAACTGCAGGAGGAGAGATGCTATTCTCCCAAATACAACCATGAGCAGGGATGCGTGCTGGGGGTGCAGGTAGCATCCTGAGGCATCCCTGACTGCCAGGCCAGGGGTGAGCTGGCTCAGGGACAATGGGAATTGGGCTGTCCCAGCTGCTGCAGTGTTTGGGCTCACTCTCTGTCCAAAGCGACTGATGCTGCTGGAGATGATTCATCTCCAGCAGCATCATCTCCAGCAGCATCAGTCCCTTTGCCTTTATGTTCAAGCTCCCATTCTTGTGTTGGAAGGGATCTCTGTCTCTGGAAGGAATTTTTGTGCAGGTGCTGCCCTTTCCTGCTGTGCTCTGCTGCCTGCAGGAGATGCAGCCTGGGCTGCTCTGCTCATGGCAGCCCAGAGACCCAGCAGAAAGTTGTGTGGGAAATCTTGAGGTCACCAGTGGCACGAGTGGACTAGATCCCATCCTTTTGTTTTTGGGGACACCTTTTTCCTCCTTTTTCTTGTGAAACCCCTGTGGTTGGTATAACCAGCATGTTGGAAAGACACAGAGTGGGACAGTCAGGAGGCAAGGCTTGAGTGAATCTCTGCAAAAGTAAGAATGGATATAAAATAAAGGGTACTGCTGGGAAACTTGTACTCAGGGTCAGATTTCCTCAGAAGCTTTGTTGATACTACCCAATCCTTGACATCCATCCCTCAAAAAGAAAAGCCAGGAATTTTTAAGGTGAGTATGAAATGCTGACAGCAGGAACGCCCTTCAGGTAGTTCCAGCTACAGCTTTGCTGTCAAGGCTACTTTTCCCTAACAGATCTTGTGGGGTATAAAATCCTTTGTCAGGACTTCATAAGCAATGCTTGAAGACCCAGGGGAATTTCTCAATTGAATTATGAAGTGTCTTTCAGCAATGAAGCCTCTATGGAGAGAATGCAGGGCTTTAGGACTCACCATCACAGCCCACTCCAGGAGCAGGACTGTGCACTGCCAGCAACTGGCTCTTTACCTGGCTGCTGAACATCCAATTTCATAATTAACCAATGCAAAAGTTGAGGAAAAGATTTTTCATCTAACAGTTTGAATTTTAAGCTGAACTCTGTTGGAGCTTAAGGTGAGAGTTGATATTGAAGGCAGATCATCTTCTGAGGGGCTGCTCTTCCTCTCAGGCATCTGGGCAGAGGGAGATTGGGGACATCATGACATGAGGCATGGGCCAGCACTGCTGCTGCCTGACAGCTTTCTGCTCTCTCTCATCTATCAAAGTAATTATACCCATTACATTTCTCCTTTCAGGTTTTACCCTCCCAAATGTTATTCCTCAGCAGTAAACCTGTGGGGTGAGTGAATTATTGGGGAAAAATCCTAGGTATAATCCAGGTTTAATGGGCACATAGGAAAAACACACTGGGTTTGGAGGGTGGCTCAGCCAGCGTCCTGCTTCTGCAGACAAATAGAAATTTATCTTGATGTGTGTATATATCTAGTTTCATGATCTGTGAGCTCTTAATAATTGGTTTGGTGACCTGCTGGCAGTATTCTCTCTGTGTAGAGCTTTCCCCAGCCCCCAGTTAATATAATGGGTCACAAATCCCATTTGCTTTTGAATTCTGAGTAATCCTTTTGTTAATGTTGCCTATT